CAACAAGATGCAGCTTTGCTGTAGACTTCTCTGCTGCTTCTGCAGAGGGCTTTGTCCATTTAGCGTTTCCTCATTGCATGTGAACTCATCCTGGTTTGAGCCTGTGAGCAGAGGATGATTCTTTATCCGAATTGCTATTTTCTTAACCATTTTTTTTGATTCGCAGGTGGGATGTACCATGGTGACCTCACTGAAAAACTCAAAGTACTTTACAAACTGCATCTGCCTCCCGGTGAGTGATTGCTTTCCTATATCGCTGCTGTTGAGCGTGGTCTGTTCTAACATGCAATTGAAAAGGCATGCCTCATGAATTTTGCTAATGAAGTGGGTGATACTGCTGTTAATTAGCTTAGAGATCTTAACATTTCCTTCTCTGTAAATACAGCTTTGAATCCAGAGGAGACAGAGTCCGCTTTGGAGGCCACAAGTTACTTCACAGAGGATGTTACAACAGAAGGTAATACAGCACTGCTGCCTTTACCTCTCGGTTTAGGCAGGAGTTGCAGCACAAACCCACGTGCAATGAATAGTGATTTTTTGCAGAGCATGGTCTCGTGGTGGCAGTATGTTAAGATTGCCAGTGCGTTTGAGTTTGCTGTCTTTGTTGCATGATGGGAAAGAAGTTTGGAGCTTAAACTGCTCAGCGCCCATTTCATGTGGGACCCCTCTGAAGCACCGTTACAGACTGCTGAGGAGGAGCAGTGTGCTTTTACCAGCCCATCTCCCACCATGATTTAGGTTTTTCATGCAAGTCTCATTGTCTCTCTTCTTGTTTTTGTTTCCTTCTTTGTGTCTGTCTATGTCTGGCCTTTTCTTCTGTTGTTCTTCTGGACAATATCTGGGATATTGTCCCCTCAATCCCTTTCTCTGCTGCTCAAGTATCTCCTTTTGTCTCAGAGCTGGATTTCTGCCTGCACTGTGACTCTCAAGGTTAGTCCATGGATTATGTGCATGCATTGAGCATGGCTATAATGCTGATATCATCTGCCAGCACCAGTGTGCTATTTTAAATACTCTGAAGTTGTTGCTGCTGCTCCCCTCTCCTGACACTCCCACTATGAATAAAGTACTATAAGTAATTTGATATATTTCAGTATATTCTACCTATTGAGTTTCAGCCTTGGTCAAAGTAGGTTTTGTCCGGCTTCTTCCAGTGGGGTTTATCTCGCCCTAGAAACTGGCAGGGGAAAATACACTCAGAACAGAGTCGGGGGGGTGCTAGGCTTGCTGGCCTGGGTGGATGATACCAGTGCCTCCTCCGCAGTCTTCTAATTTCAAGGAATATGAATGCATGCCGTTGAATTGTAAAACTGCTAGTAGACTAGTTTACTTCTTAAAAGATAATTTTAGGGATTGTCAAATAGGAGATCAAAGTGTCGTCTGTGCTAAATGTTTGCCAAAATATAATAAAAGTCCAAAAAAAAGTGAGTGGGTAGATAATTGTGCTGTTTGGTGCTAGATGGCTAACGTAACAGTCAGAGTTGAGCCAAGATTTCCCATAAAGTCTAGTGACAACGTAGGGAACTAGAAGCGAAGGTTGTGAAGTTAGACTCTGCACATTACTCCCGAAGTGTCAGTTCAGTCAGTCAATAATGGTGTGTGTCACATCATATGTGCTCAGTGGTGGTTTGGTTTTTTTCCTGTCATTGTCTAACTTTGGATAACTGAACTTTCTCTTTAAGCCATCACGTTGCTTAGCTGTCTTTCATATCTGTGCTTCACCTTTTCCTTTAAGAGTTCTACTCTGTACCTCAGCTCTTCAACCTACTTTTTCAGTGTGGCATTTTATCCAGTTCATCCCATCAGCCTCTTGCTTCCGTCCTGTTCTGTTCACTCCTCCAAACGTGATGTGGGAGTGTGAGCTCTAACTTCTATTAAATATATTCTTGTATGATTTTGATTTGTGTACAAGTTGTCTTACATTCTTCACGTGTTGTATTGCTGAAAATCAGCTACTAATAATTTTTTTATAATTCCGTAATTTTGTAGAAACCCAAGAAGATAAAGGAAGGAGAAATGAGAACGGTCCAGAAAAAGGTAATTTCATCATAAATTGACCACATTCTAGTCTTGTCTTTCATTGTCCTTTGCTGTATCAAGGAGGCCTTTCAAAGTGTCCCTTGTGGACAGAGGTAAAGTGGGATGTGAGCCAGGAAATAAATCTGTCTTATGTCTTACTGGTCTGACTCTATTACGTCCCGAGATCATAACATTTGTAAATCATGTTTGGAAAGTTGTCAACTCATGGAATTCATTTATGAGAAGTCAAGCTGATGCAGCAGTGTTAAAATTTTTGCTCTACTGAGCTGGATCAGATAAACCAGCAGAAGACATTGCAGCCTTCCTGGTAGATGCTTTCCCAAATGGTCAATAAAACCTGCTTCCAGCGTGATTTTTGCTGGCACAACATTCACTTTTTAAGTCTGAAACCATTAACTGCCTGACAGTAGTCACTTGGTCTTGCCTTGCAGAGGAGAAAGGTACCAGTCCACAGGACTATAGATACTACCTAAGAATGTGGGCCAAGGAGAAAGAGTCCAGGAAAGAAACCATTAAAGATCTCCCCAAAATGAGCCAGGTAAGAAGTGAATGTGAAGGTTTCCAGTTAGATGACTGACAGCTTAGTGGAGAATTCAGCAGTCCATGCAGCCATTTTGCCAGCATACTCAGTCCTTGCTTGTAGATTGCCCTGCTGTTCTGGTCTGGTGAGCTTCAGAAGCCTCTAATTCCACGCGTTTGTGCTGAATCCCTCAGTGGACATGGACAAACTGCTTTGTTTCCACCAGTCAAATGGATTTGATTCTCTCTGCCTCCCAGACCAATTTTTCCTACAAGAACTGCAATCTGTGTTTTCCCTCCAGAGCAGTATGTTTCAAATATGCCATCAGTCATATAAACTTGTTTGGCTTTTTTGGTTTTGCATTGCCTCGAGTTACAGCTGCTTGATGGAGAGCGAAGAATGTGGTTACAGGAAAGAGAGTCTGATGACTGGTGTGATCTTTTCTGCGTGTAGCTTCCTTGATGGGTGCTACTTAAACCAGTTTGGAAATGCTTAAAAGCTGACCACAAAAGAGTAGCAGGGCAGCAGTAAAACTTCAAGCTTTCTCAGATGTGAATATGTGAGCACTCTGTTCATCTGTCAGCAAAAAGCCCACCACTATTAAATTTCTAGCTGAGTCTCAATTTAGCTGCTACAGCGGAGAGAGGAGAGCTTGCCTGTATTGGACTGTTCTGAATCAGTACAGTAAGTTGCCACTTACTCAGTGGGGAGGCAGATAAACAAGGAGTCAGTCAAGATGGTGCCTGTTGCTTCACCTCAAGGAACATCTGGACAATGCTCTTAGTCGTATGGTTTTGTTTCAGATAGTGCTGCGAGGAGCAGGGAGTTGGACTCGATGATCCTTATGGGTCGCTTCCAACTTGAGATATTCTGTGATTCTGTCATCTGCCACTGTCAACTTTTTTCAGCCTGAAGTATGATTTTTTGGTCTTTGCCTTTTAAAGGAACAATTCATAGAGTTGTGCAAGACTCTTTACAACATGTTCAGTGAGGACCCAGTGGAGCAAGAGCTGTACCATGCAATTGCCACTGTAGCCAGTCTCCTTCTGCGAATTGGGGAGGTTGGAAAGAAGTTCTCCAGCAGGCCCATGAGGAAGTCTGAGGACTGCAAAGCAAACAATACCCAAGATGCTGTGAGTGAAGAGGAGTCACCAACATCTGAACAGAGTCAGAATTCAGCAGTGGAGCAGCAACCCCAAGCTGACCATGAGGACAAAACCTGTGGAGATGCTCAGCCTGAAAAAACACAGCAGGAGAACCAAACTCTGGGAGATGGGCCAGGGGAAGGACAAGGCTCTCCTTTACAGCTGCTATCAGATGATGAAACCAAAGATGATATGTCCATGTCTTCCTACTCCATGGTCAGCACAGGCTCCCTGCAGTGTGAAGACATTGCAGATGACACGGTCCTGGTTGGTTGTGAGGGCAGTAGTTCAGCTGCCAGGTATGGTAGTACCATTGATACTGACTGGTCTATCTCCTTTGAGCAGATCTTGGCTTCCATGCTGACAGAAACAGCCCTTGTAAACTACTTTGAGAAAAAGGTCAACATTCTGCAAAAGATCAAAAACCAGAAGAAGGTAGAGAGGCAGTTTAGTTCATCCAGTGACTATGAACTTTCCTCCTTGTCGGGGTGAACTCAAGAAAGCAGGAATTGTCTTTGGGAGATAAAACAGGGAGATGATGGGGCAGATGGCAGGATGGTTTGGTATGTTGTGTTTGGGGAATTTTTTTGTTTAATCAGAGACCAGTAACTACACAATTACAATAGATTCCAGTCGATAAGGGGCTTCTGACAGTGACTGTTTTGTGTAGGTGCTTCTTTGGCTGCTCTGGCTGACAGAATTAGATTTACATTCTCAAGAGCCATTAGAACCTAATAGCCCCTTACATATAGAATTACCGCCATAAATGATGCATGTCTGCCTTTTGCTATCTTTTATTTTAATGAAGTTTTATTTCAGACAGCAACTGCTCCCTGCCTGCCCTTGTTTGCTGTAGGTTCCTGGGTAACTTGCAGAGCAGATGCAGCCTGGCTTGAAGCCGCGTTCACCTCTGGTTGCCAGTCTGAGAGCTAGTGCAGTGTAGTCAAGTGCTGTGGGACCCTGACCTAGAAATAGTCCTGTAAGTTCTTCGGTGCTGTTCTGTGACCCAGCAGCTATAATGCAAATGTGCCCCACCGCTCCCAGCACCCCGAGGTCTACACACAGACATTTCTCAGATCTGCACGTCTCTTTCAGACGCGATTTGGCATTTTCGTAGTGTATGACCACCTTTTTTTCTCCTTCAGCATTCAGGAGTTTTCAGAAAAAAAAATGGTTTTCTAGCATTTGCTTTTCTAATTCTTTGAAAGCCATTGGTTTTAGTTGGTCTGGGAAGCCACAGGCTCCTTTACTTGAGTAGTAATATTAAGTCAATCAGTGGGCTCATGATGGTCATAATGAAGGAATATGTTCCTAAATTAGGAGTCAGCGAATCAGTCTCAGTGTTACAGGGCAGCGGCACGCTGGTCTGCTGGACTTTCCCTGTCGGTACAGAAAACATTCATGGTTTCTTGCTGATTCCCCGTTTTCACTAGCTCATGGTGGGTCTGGTTTTTAGGTGGACCCCTACGAATACTCTGATCAGTCAGCCCTCACGTACGAGGAGGATGTGCAGGAGGGGTGCTGTGCTACCTGCAGCTGCCCAGTGTGTCCTGCCTGAACACCTCCTGTACAAAGAGTCCAGCAATGGACGTGCTTTTAGAAACTACTACATGTCAAAGGGCATTTACCCCGAAAGAGGACGAATTCAAAGCGGTGTGGCCCTCTGCCATCAGCCCGTTACAGGAAACCTCAGTAGACCAGGTCTCTTTCCAGTTAAACATGAAATAGCTGGGAGACTGAGAGACTGCTCTTTTAAATCGATGAAGACCAGAAGAAACTAAGAGTTAGCTTTCTGGTAGCAGGGCGTCTGCTCCGAGGAAGGAGAATCGATGCTGTTCCTACAGATAAATTCATCTCAGTACGCAGGCGTCTGCCTGGCAGGGCCGAGCGGGAGAAGGTGCTGCCCCGTGAGAGCAGACCCTGCGCTGAAGGCAAGGTTTGCTGCAGCGGGTGGAGGGTGAAGGATGGGAAGGACACGAACGGTTGGGTGTTCCGTAACACTACGTGGTGTGCTACTCAGTGTTAACTCCCCCTTGTGACATTCTCTGTATGTATGCACAGCTGGTACATATTTCTCATTTCTCTGCCTCCTCTGTCCTGTATCACTGGAGAGCAGCCATTAGTAAAACTGCTTTTACTAATTATTCAGTAATTTATTGTAATTTTTTAAAAGTACAAATAATACATGTGATTTTACACTGTCTGTCTGTCTTATCTGTCATGTACTCAATAAATGAACCAGAATCCTGTAGTCAACCTCGACAGCCTTTTATTTCTCCAAGCTCATGGAATATTGCTTGTTCTTTGTCCAGGGCAGTTATCGAACGGAGCAGACCGGAGTCTGACTTTTTTTTTTAAAACTTTGTTCCTTTTTTTAAAAAAACTTTCTTTCCTTTTTTTTTTAAACTTTCTTTCCTTTTTTTTTAAACTTTCGTTCCTTTTTTTCTTATTTTTCATATTTTTCATTTTTTCTTTTTTCACTTTTTTCCCTTTTGTTTTTTCTGTTCTTGTCTTTTTTCTTTTTCCTCTTTTTTCTTTTTCCTATTTCTTCTTTTTCCTCTTTTTTCCGTTTTTTTTTCTTTTTTCTCTTTTTTTTTCCTTTTTTCTCTTTTTTTTTCCTTTTTCTCTTTATAACTACGGCTCACCGTATTTACTGTTTGTGCAGCACCGACTGACGCGGCACCAGGCCGGTGCCGATGGGACCGCTGGTTTCGCGGCTGCGGAGCGTTTCTCCTCCCGGCGACGGCCTCTTCCAGCGGCTGCGCGGCGGGCCCCCCCCGCCCCAGGG